TCAGTATAAACACACATACAGGCCAAGATGCTGTCTGTGGCCTGGGCAGGGTGTTCCAGTCGGGAGCAGTTTCTCAAAATCTCGCCATCTTCATTCTTTTGCAGTGTGGTCTACCGGTGAATAGTGAGAAAGGACAGTTCTGCTGTCTGCTGGCAGATGGTCATGGAAACTATAGCGCATTCTGGGAGACAGGCCCATATGGTAGCTTTCCCACCAGCTGGGAAAGAACATTCTTCCAGAACATCCCTGCATGTTCCATGACTACTGAAAATGACCCCCCACTCAGCTTCGATTTTTTTCACTGTACATGCCTATGTAGTTATGGTCAACAGAACACAGTAAGTCTTTCAAAAGAGAGAAATTTCCTAAGACATTAACTCTTCTAGAAGGATCATTATCAAACACATTATTTGCAAAAGCAGATGATGTAATAATTGTCTTGTTTTGTTCTGGCTCCCACCTCAGTGGGAACCAGTGACAGGAGGTGTGAAAGTGAAGCATTTCTCTAAGGCTTTCCATATGCTCCACTCTAGGAAGAGTGAGTCAGGCAGGAAGTCTTGGAGATCACGATGCATTCTTTCATGAAATGGAGAAAATAGAAACTGACATTTCGAATACCAGGAGAGTAGGGCAAGTTACCCAGGAAATGCCAGTGTGCCGGCGCCTGTCTTCCCATCTCCTCGCCCTAACACCCGGCCTCTCCCACCTCCTGCACCCCGGCTTCCTCTCCCAGGGTATGAGGGTGCTTTTAAGAAAATATTTCTCAAACTCAACTGAAGATTCAGAGTGGACCCTCCTCCAAGAAAGGGTCCCCAGCACCAGTTAACCTTTCTTTACTGCATCCTTAAGAAAGCTTTGTTCCAGATGTGGAGAGGGGCCAGGGGATTATGAATTACTTTCCCCCACTTATTTAGCCACTTTTGTTTGCCAATTCATTTATGTTGATTTATCAAATTACAGTCTGGGGAAGATCTGGACAGTAAGGGGGTTAAGGGCAGCACCTGGGGCAGCTGACTGCGTAAGGACAGGCATTGAGTTTAGGGCATTTTTTTCTTTAAAGATTTATTTATGTATGCATACAGAACTGGGGTACAGGCCAGGGGTGCAGGGGTGGTGAGAGGCTTC